ATATTAACTTTCTTATTTTTCCATTTGCCCTTTCCTTTGTCTTGACCATTCCACTTTCTCTTTCCAATTTGCCCTTTATCGTGCTGGTTGTACAATTGACGATGTTGCTCTGCATTAGCCTTTTGATACTAGATAGCGTGAGCTCGTTCCAGCATCTCACGATATGACGTAAAGCGATGTGACATAAGGATCATACTTAGGTCTGAGTTTAACCCTTGCTCGAACCTTCGAGTTTTCTTAATTTCCGTGTCAACCAGATGTGGAGCATACCTTGCGAGTTGATCAAACTTCCACTCGTAATCCGTTAGGGACATATTACCCTGCTTGAGTTGAAGGAATTCATTCTCCTTGGAATCCCTTAGAGATTGAGGAAAATATTTGTCCATCACTTCCTCCTTGAATTGTTCCCAAGTTATTGCCAATTGCTGCTCCCGAGTCCTAATTCGGGACATCGAATCCCACCAGTGACTTGTATCACCGTTAAACATAAACTCCGCACATTGAACCCTTTGGGCATCAGTGCATTCTATGAGCCGAAAAATTCGTTCTAGCTTACGAAGTCATTCCTCAATTACTAGTGGACCAGATGCTCTATCGAAGGTAGGGGGCTTATGCCTTCGAAATAACTCAACTATCGAGGCGTGAGTCGGAAGAGTAATAGGAACTGGTGGTGTAGGTGGAGCGGGATTTTGATTCAACCTGCCAAGATCTTGAACCGCTTGCAGGAGATCCCCTATCAAGTTGTTCTGGTTTGCTCGAGACATTTTTCTAGAGATAAGATATAATATCTCACATTAACTTCGTTTGCCAAAACCAGTATACTTAAAAAAAATAAGGTAGTCCTCAAATTGATCATAATTTTCCTTTATTAATAGTACTCATTGCAATCGGGACATACAATAGGTCGACAATTTTTTTATTTTCAAAAACTTAAAGGAAAAGATATCACAAGGAAATGGAAATCTAAATTTCTAATCCCTATGAATCTTGCGAATTTTCTTCGATGGAGTCTCATCTTCGGAGGAGTCTTCTGTCTCAGGCCCTGACTCTAGGTCCATCTCAACCTGTGGTTCAGGTTCATGCTCATGATCATTCTCTAAGTCCAACCCAAAGTCATCCTCATGCTCCCATTCGAGATCTTCCTCTGGGTCTGATTCAAACTGAGGTTCGGGCTCGAGCTCAGGCTCAACCTCATTATTGGGCTCAATTACTATCTCCGGTTGGGGTTCTAAACTCTCACTCCATCTGTCTAGAAATGTTTGACAATATACCAAACTCAATCGTATTTGGGTTCTCTGGATGGTTACCCTCTAACATCTCATCCCTAACAATGACTCCTGTGTTTTCTCATTGAGGTAGGAGTGAATGTATAAGGCTATTCACAGCCTCGATATGCGTGATTTCCAGTCCCGCATCTACAACTGCCATACATCTCTCGTAGATATCATGTACGTGTTCAACAAGTGGACGAGACGGGTCAGTCACATAGTTCTCATAGGACTGGATGATGGCCCTACGGTTCAACACTGCTATATAAATTGTGGCCTTTCTAGCGGTCTGATAAGTTTTAACCATGTCTATCACATAAGTGTCCAATTATGTGTTATCTTCATTAGTGATATCAACTTATACATTATGCTCTTGAGGTTCTAATATGATGGCCAATCATCATCTCTTCACGTAGATTTAAACAAAATATAATGTACATAGCATATTTCATTCAAAATATCATAAGCATTTTTCATAGATTCAAGTTTATATGATTAAAAAAATCATGCTCGAAAAAATAATGTGGAACATAATATTTTCTTCCATACCTTAGGTTCGTCGGATGAGGTCAACTGATAGACGCAAGATGCCATAGAGTACCTTAAATGTTTCATTTTTTTCATCTCATAAATAAAATACACTAAGTCTACAGAATCGACTAAACTCGTGCTCTGATACCACGCTGTAACGTCCCGACCCGCATGGACAGAAACGTCACTCCACCATTGTACCTTAGCCGTAAAGTTAGTTCAATATATTTTTAGTAGAGTGTATAAAGATTAAATTTTAGAATTTAATTAAAGAATTTTTTTTATTTAAACAATAATTCAATATTCCATACCTTAGGTTCGTCGGATGAGGTCAACTGATAGACGCAAGATGCCATGGAGTACCTTAAATGTTTCATTTTTTTTCATCTCATAAATAAAATACACTAAGTCTACAGAATCGACTAAACTCGTGCTCTGATACCACGCTGTAACGTCCCGACCCGCATGGACAGAAACGTCACTCCACCATTGTACCTTAGCCGTAAAGTTATTTCAATATATTTTTAGTAGAGTGTATAAAGATTAAATTTTAGAATTTAATTAAAGAATTTTTTTTATTTAAACAATAATTCAATTCTAAAAGAAAACAATTTCAAAAAAATATTTTTAGAATGGGTTCCATGCATGTAACGACTATTAACGTGAAATTTTGGCAAAACTTAAAAAGTAATGTTGTTGTTCCAGTTTTTTTGTCTCAAACAGTAATTGTCAAGATAAATTTGTTTTCATAGTTATCGACCTTGAAATTTCATCAAATTTTAATGTAAGGTAGTAAACTCCTTATAATATGACATAGTCAAAAACTAGCTTCCGTCGACGTCATATGGGGTATTAAAATATTTTTCAAAACTCACCAGCGACCCAGTTGAAGGGTAACCGGTGCAGTTCATTTAAAATGGAATATAAAATTCCACCGACTTCAAAACCACATGATTTCAAATTTATTCAGTAACTAATCCATGAGAATATCAAATCCAATTGGTTTCATCCAAAAATTCCAAGTAAAGGTCGAGTTAGGAAATTTTGAAGTCAAGGCAGAAGTTGGGAATATGACGACTCGACCCAGTGTAATTTACTTTATGCAACATATAATTTTCTACCGACATCGGATTGACATGATTCCAAGTTTATTTAATAGCTAACTTATGAGACTATCCAATGCCTCTAGTTTTGTATAAAAATATCAAGTAATGAAGGAGTTATGAATTTTTGAAAACGAGGCAGAATTTGAATTTCTTTGGAGATAGCAAAACTTTAAATCACTAACAAATTTCCCAAAATTCTGCTAACACTAACTAAACAAAGCTGTTTTCATTTTTTATCTCGTAGGGTAAGTGTCAATAAATTTGTTTGTATAGCTATCGATCTCAAAACTTCATCAAATTTTAATGTGAAGTAGCAAACTCCTTATAATATGACATAGTAAAAAATTAGCTTCCATCGGCATCAAATGAGGTCTTAAAATATTTTTCAAAAACCAGCAGCGACCCGGTTGAAAGGTAAACTGGTGTAGATCACTTAAAATGACATGTAAAATTCCACCTTCAAATTTAATCAGTAGCTAATCCATGAGACTATCAAACCCAATTGGTTTCATCCCAAAATTCCAAGTAACGACTGAGTTAGAAAATTTTGAAGTCAAGGCAGAAGCTGGGAATACGACGGCTCTACCTAGTGCAGCTTACTTTATGCAACATATAAAATTCTACAAATATCGGCTTGACATATAAAATTCTACAAACATTGGATTACAGTAAGGCCGAGACTGCCTCACTCTTGTCCTTTGCACCACTGGGTTATGCCCCCGGGGGTGACATCTCCACATTCATTAAACAGCTATAGCCTATAAGGTATAGGAGGTTTTAACATAGACAAGCCCAATTTCTCTAACAGGTGGTACTAGCTACATTGGTAAACTCTCTCTATCTATAATCATACTAAACTTTGTTGTTGATATAGCATTTATTATGAAAGATATTCTCTCGTTGCTGTTCGGTACCATCCATCTTAATTTGTGTACGCATTGTAACAAGTGCTTCACCTATCACAGGTACTACATGGTGATTTGAACCTGAGTTGCCTATATGAAATACTATGTAGATGACCATTGGGGCAACCCAATTATTCATTAAATCTTTGTAATCAATTTTACTTAAACTTAATCTCTTAAATTGCTTGACTTTGAATTAACTTATGACTCGGGGTTTCGTATTCTTACATGGGTTGAGCTTTCATAGGTCATTTCTAAAATGGGTTAGGCTCGTGGTACTAGATCATCACAAAATATTAGCATAATTCCATTTTATTTTTTCTCGGCTACTACATTTGTGGTAGCAGCTGTAGTTCCACAATGTGAAGCAAATAAAGTGATAGCATGTATTTGAATCTTTTTGAGGGTTACCACTTCGAATTAATTGCTTGTTGGGAATGAAATGTCTCATTGGAAAAAATAAAGGGTTTTCCCCCTTGGTATGGTCCGACGGAAGCAGAGATAGTGATAGCCTGTATTTGAATGTTTTTGAGGGTTACCACTTTGAATTAATTGCTTGTTGGGAATGAAATATTTCATTGGAAAAAATAAAGTGCTTTTCTCCTTGTGCGGTCCATGTCGGACCGTACAAGGTACAGTCCCCTCTAGCATTAGTATGGGGCCTCCTCATGTCAGGGGACTGTGAACGGTGCTTTGTGCACAGCACCGTCCAAAAATAAAACAATGTTGATTTGCTGGTCTTAAATTCAAAAATTGTTTCAGGTACAAGACATAACCTCCTTAGGTAGAATGGTAAATCTAGTTATTGCAGTAACATATTGTTCCACGGAATTAAAGTCCAAAATATGGAAGAAATAAGCGTTTTCACGACTCAACCACCTAGTCAGTCAGACTTCTATTGATTTTTGTGTCGAACTTATGAAGGATTTGATGGCTTGATTGAACGAATATTGTAAGAATTTTTTAATGGGCACCTTAATCATAATGTCAGCCTCTTTTAAAAAAATTATTCACAATATTGTAGATAATTAAGAAAATTGAGATAACTGAGAAAGATAAATGTGATGATTGAACATATCAATCAAAATGACCAAATACTATGTAAATTATGAATGAATAATAAAGATTTATACAAAATCCAATTAATCAAATAATTTTTAGACCTTAATTAAGTCAAAAGCGTCAAATGCCCATATGTTATGGACAAATAAGGAGGGAGACTGGTAAGCAATCCAATGATGGGCTCATCACTCCCTCTCAAATTCGCTGTCCTTTTTTCCATCTCTCTCGCCGGCGCCGCCTCCTTCGCCACCACTACCTTCGCCACTTCTCTCCCCTTCTTCAAACCAAAGCCCAAACCCAAAGCAACAGTCTCGGATTTGCTCTCCCTTCTGGGTTCACACCAACAGGCCCGTTCCGTCAACTCCCAGGTGGCCCGAGAATTGCGGTCCCGCTTCAAGTTCCTCGTGCCCTTTAGTCCCACTCAACGGCTCAGGCCGGAGTCTTCTTCGGCCCGGCGATTGCTGAACGATCGGAACAAGAGAGACGACGATGAGCTGATTTGGTGGCCTCCGGCTCCAGTAATGGAGCTCGCTCGGCTCGCCGTTGACTCTGGTGGTGATCCTGGGGCTATCCATATTGCTCTTGATCCAACCATTATCCCAGTAAGGTTTCCACCCTCCTTCCATTTTTTTTATACTGCCCCAGTTTTGGATTATGTGCGGTGCATAAATGCAAAGGTGAACATTTTGGGCTCTTCTGTTTCGTATATATGTTATTAAAAGATTATTTAGCATACAAAAAATTAAAAGTATTACAAGAAACCTAAGTGCCTAATTTTGCAAGATTTCTACCCAAATGGTATCTGTATACCCTTCTCTCTATTTTGGTGCAATTTCATATACTAATTTACTTATTTTCAGCCATATTTCCCCTTAGGAAAACTGGAGGGGTGGGCATTTTAACTTGAACTGAACCTCATGAACCAGAACAGCGGGTTCCAATTCGGATCCAAAAGTTACATAGAACCGTGTGGTTCCATATACAAAATACCTGAAGTTAAATTGGTGATTCCGATTCTTGAGATACCCGGACAGAAACCCGATTTGGAACTGAATTGTCAATTTTTATTTTTTTTACTTTCACATATTGTGTAAATTTTCAACAAAGACATTAGTTTAAATGCCATTGGTTTTCTTCGTAGAAAACTGGAATTGAGATTTTAGGAAACCTATGGGGAGTCCGTACATAATTTCTCTTTCTTTACGTTTTTGGTTAAAAAATATAACTAGTTGAATGAACTAATGTAAAAAATTGCTTACTTTATTTTTGCTGGTTATGGTTTTTTTTATTTTTTATTTTTTATATACGGTAGAATCCAACCCGAGCTGGATAATAGCAGGGATGTCAAATGGGTCGAGCCGGCTCGGCTCGTTAAAGCTCGGCTCGTGGGCTGCTCGGGCTCGTCTCGTCAAAGCTCGGCTCATGGGTTGCTCAGGCTCATCATTTGACGAGCCCAAGCTCGAGCAAAGTGGGGGGTCGATTCCAACGAGCCGAGCCCGCTCGGCTCGTCGAGCTCGACGAGCGGCTCGTCCAAAAAAATGGAAAAAATTGAAATTTTATCAATAAAAATTGAAAATTTTGCAAAAAAAATAATAAATAAATAAAAAATTTCACGAGCTCGCGAGCCGCTCGTGGGCTCGGCTCGACCCCGCCCACGAGCTCGCTCACAAGCAACGAGCCGAGCCCGAGCTCGTGGGTTAACGAGCCGAGCCGGCTCGATTCGGTCCATTGCTACCCCTAGATAATTGACTGTTCTAGTTTGGTTCCAAAAATTACATGAAACCTAATGATTCCATTTACAATATACCCAAAGGTTTAATGGTGGTTCTAGTTCTTGAAATACCCCAACCGATCCACCCAACATCCATCCCTACTTGGGAAAACGGTTGTAGTGGTTATGGGAGGTTCCCGAGCTCGTGGGTTAAGGAGCCGAGCCGGCTCGATTCGGTCCATTGCTACCCCTAGATAATTGACTGTTCTAGTTTGGTTCCAAAAATTACATGAAACCTAATGATTCCATTTACAATATACCCAAAGGTTTAATGGTGGTTCTAGTTCTTGAAATACCCCAACCGATCCACCCAACATCCATCCCTACTTGGGAAAACGGTTGTAGTGGTTATGGGAGGTTTTAGTTTGAATTTGAATTCAAACTAGGCCCCCCACCGCATTCTTATAAGTTGCGGGTCAGGTCACGTCAGCTCAGCTCGCATTGATGATTCATGACCCATAAGGCCATAATCTAACATTTGTGCAAGCGTTGTTAACATTGCCAATAACATATTTTGAGTATATAGCACTTGGTGTGGTATCAAGTCTATGTATGTGACATTGGTGCTATCAATTATGATGGATCCACATATACTTTCATAAGGAGAAAGCCGATATGAATAATGCAGGTTCCTGATGTGGAAGGAACGAAGGAAGATCGATGTGAGCTTACTAGAACCCCTTATGGGAGACACTTCATAAATGAGGTATGCATTATAGTAATGATAGAATTCACTGTATTGTAATTTTCTTAAGATTAGGATCTTTTTTAATTACGTTATTTATTTTTCTGAGTTTCTTAATAATGTAGCATGTAATTCTCATTTTTGTAGGAGTTGAATTCGTACCTAAAGTTTTTATTTGAAATTATAGTTCAGAGGGGTCCCAGTGTAGGGCTGAATGTTTCATTGAATCGCTATGACTTTTTTCACGGCCACCTTTTCCTTGCCATGGATTCTGGAAGACTTGGTATTTTGTAAGTTGAGTGCCATCCAACATCTAATTTTATGATTCTTCCATGTATTCCTTTGAGCTCGAGATGAGAAGAGTTTGGAAACGCAAACACCAGCATAGTCAGAATTATATTGACAGTTCATAATCCATGATTTGTCACATGTAAAATGCTGCAAATAGATGGCTGAACTTGGTAACAACACATTTCTAGTTTGATTCAGAATTTCGTCAAGATTGTTATGCTTGACGTGTTTGATTGTGCAGTACTGGTAAATAAACCTCCCCAACTTACAATTACTTCTTCCCCCCCAACCAAAACTAAAAAAAATAGAAGTAAAATATGAGTAGATGGCCAAGAGGAGATGAAAGAAAATAGTGCCTTGGCCTTGTTGTATAAATTGAACTATCTTAGATCAGGTTCTATCCCTTACGATTTGTATCCCATCAACTGTAGCTTGGCTAATTAAATATGAGAAAGTAAACATAACCTAGAGAAATAAAGAAAACATCCAAATTATCAAGGTTCTAGATGAGGACAATATTTATTTCCTAAATGATTATTTGGCTCATCCGGTTACAATTATATCACTAAATTTCAAGACAGCAAAATCATATATTTCTTTTATTCTGAACTTTTCAGTTATGAAGTTAACTTGGTACAAAAGTTTAAGTTTCTTTTACGCTTGAATGCATGGGGATTTTTGTGCTTGGGAGCGGCTAATTGTTTATATTTTCAAATGTACAAATAAAATAGAAGTAGTCATGTATTTATATGTTTCTTTATTGCATACTTAGTCATGCAATTGTAAAAGAGAAAATTTCTATTAAAGAAATGCTTTAAATTCTTTAATTTGGTTATGCATCACCCTCC